AAGAATACTCTCTCTCTCTCTCTCTCTCTCTCTCTCTCACACACACACACACACACACACACATACACACGCACGCATGCATGCACAAAAGGACCCCATGCGACCAAAAACTCAAATTTTTGGGTCAATGAGAGTTCAAACAGATCCTGTTGGGCAAGAGAATGGTAGTCTCTTTTTACTTTACTGTTGTCTAGAACTAGTACGCATTGTACCACCATCCAATCTAGAGTCATGTTTCTTCATATCTGATGGCACTTTTGTGGCATTCTTTTCTCTTTTTGTATGGATGGGGAACACAGACATGAGTGCTGTGGAGAATATACAAGGTAGCGGACCTGAGGTCTATGGATAATATGCCCCAACAACTACCTTTAAAGGTCATTGCTTAAAACAGGTGCATTTTGCAGTTTACATTGATGAAGAAGGCAATTTTTACATTCATTGACACATGAAGCAAGGACACAAGACAAGATAATTCAGTCTAATACACATAACCCAATCTTAAGTCATAATAAAATCTGGCAGAAAGAGTTCAAGAATGCCATTGACATGTTTCCACATGAGCTAGAAACACAAACCCCAAATAATAACAGGTAAAACAGTCAATGAGTTTGTTCACTACTCAGGTAAACAGCTTGTAGGCAGATACTGCATTTCCGAGTCAGGTAAACTTGTCTGTTGTAAATCACACTAACCCCATATTATATATCACCATTTCTGAGTCAGGTAGATTCTCCATTTCTGAGTCAGGTAGATGCACCATTTCTGAGTCGGGTAGAAAGGCAGATGCTGCATTTCTGAGTCAGGCAAACTTGGTCTCTTCCACATCTGTTGTAAATCACACTAACCCCATATTATGTATCACCATTTTCCACATTCCACCAACATCCCAGAGTCTTGAATATTAACAGATTTCACTATTTTGTCAAAATTGGGCTAAACAAATAAACACATAATGTTCAAAGGGCCAATGGAGCGCAGATGTTCCTCAGTGGTTGCTGCATTTCTGAACCAGGTAAGCAGATAGTCTCTTCCATATCTGATGTGAATCACATTAACAATACCGACAGCCCAGTTCCTTGAGTATTGATAGATTTCATTATTTTGCGAAAAGCAGGCTAAAGAAATAAATAGCGTAATGTCCAAGGGCGAATGGAGCACAGATGTTCCTCAGCCTACTACCAAGCTAAGGTTGTGTAGAATGTATGAGATATACATGAATCAGAGAACAAAAGTACCCGCACATCTAATAATAGCAACACGTGGTAAATAACACCATGAGCATGGATAATTTTCATTATCTTGTGAAATTTCCAATATTAATTACCCACTCATATGCAGTGTTTTTCCTTCATTTAAAACATATGCTATGGTTATGAAACATCCTTATGGAAAGCTCTCTCAAGAAACCCCCTAAAAATGCCGAAGACCTAACAAGCAGAAATTAATTTGGCAACAAGAATCATGCAATCATCAGTGATCATCCACCTGTTTATACGTATTTTGACATACCCGTCCTGTGCGAATAACAGAGGAGACAGTTGCAACTGTGGCTCTCAGACACCGAGTACGCCTGAAAAGCCATGGAAGCATGTGCGTAATAACGCCCATATTTTTAAGAGCCCCTGCATGACATCATCTCAGCCCTCACGAAGAGCACAAGAGTGGCCCCTAATACCTTGAGGATATCCCACAAATTTCAGCCCCGATCGGGCGAGGATGAAAGGAGATATGAGGAAAGTGAGATAAAGGAGTATCGTACTTCGTAGGTGTACGGATGAACAATATAGTAAAACTCCTAGAAATCGACCTCAGATGGCCTCCGGACCATCGCAGGTGAGTTCAAAACGTCGAAAAACCCCTGACCCCCGAATTTCAAGCCAAACGGACCTTTCTAGGCCCTACTTTCCAAAATTGTGTTGTTTCTATACTTTTCAAGATTTCCCAGCTTGAACCAATTTTCAAATATAGTAAAATCCTGCAACACTTCCTCAAAAATGGCCAATCTTCGCGCCCATGGATTTCTCGACCCGAAAGTTGGATTGAGCTGAAATTTGGATATGTCGTGCTCCTCGACGAACACGATCTTTTGGTATAGGGCTCACACATGATCGTTGGCCGGGTCGGAAGATATCTTAGAGAGAAGTCCGCAAGTTCTCAAGTTCATGCAAAAATCAGTTTGCATGACCTCTTCGAGCTCTAATGATAATAATTCGATATCCAACCATCGAATTGAGCTCAAACTTAGTGCATTTCGATCGTAACTTGATTATCTTTTGATTTAACATAAGAAAAGTCACGGTGGGCGTCCGGGTCGATGCCCATCCGAGGCTTGAAAGTGCGCACAATTTTAGATGTAACAGAAAATTGGTTTTCCGGCGACTTGCCAGAATCATAACTCAGTTAATCAGAGGTCTCTTCGGGCGATTTTTTATACAAAATGATCGTGTTGGGTTTCCCTTCGATTTACCTTTTTGTTCACAATGAACTCGGCATTTTCAGAGTAATCGATCGAGGAATACAATAAAAGTTTGCATCAAAACCATGAAACTCAAAACCATCAAGAACTTCATCAAATCCTCATGATTTCTTGCATATCATATATCAAAACGATCGTAGTGAGACAATCTATGTTTTTCCGGTGATAGATCGTATGTTTAGATGCTGGAGAAGCCAAAACAAAGGCCCCATGCCATGTTGGGTGGGAAGAGGCCCTTTTTGAGGGACCTATTTGTCAGTTTTGAACTTTATGCAAGATGTTTTTGCTCAATTTTTCTTTTACACGAATTTTGGTTGCATTTCTCATATTTTTCTTTTCACTAAATTCTCTTGGATTTTGAACATCCACTCTTGTTCAAAGGGGGGGGGGGGGGGCTCTATATAAACCACACTATTCATGAAATTAAGAGAGCCTTTTTTGCCTTGTGTTTAATGAAATTCTATTACCTTTGACCTTTGAGAAAGGGGAGAGAAATCTTTTGCAAAAGAATTCTTACCCCTAGGTTTAACCTAAGGTTAGTCACTTTCGTTAGTTTAACTTTAACCTAACCGCAACCCACTTTAGTTAAGTCTCTACACTTAACCAAGGGTTACCTACATCCTAACCAAACCATATTCCCTTAACCCAAACATCCCATACCATATTCCCTACACCACACCTTAACTTACTCCCTACCTTGCACCATAATATAATCCCTATACTCAACCAACCCATTTATCCTAGGCTAGCCTTAAGGAGGCTCTTCCAAAGCGGTGCGCCTACTGTGGATTCCTTCAAGGTGCTTCAACTATTTGCCGAGCACCTTCTCTTATTGTCTATACCCCCTAGGGGAGCTGCTGCCGGAATTCCATCGGCTTTCGGTCAACTCTCTCTCCATAACCACTCACCTACTCCTAAACCAAGCCGACCCATCACTTAGCCTTAGGAACCTTAACCCATCCAACCCTCTTTAACCCACACACCCCACTCATCCTAACCTACTTGACCTATCTAACCTAAGCCGAACCGGCCCAAACCAAACCCCAAGCCAAACCGAACTGAACCGAACCGAACCAAAGCATACGAGCACATACGACCCAAGGCAACCATAAGAGCGCGGAGACATCGACATGGTGAGAGGTGTGAGGGAGTGGGACCAAACCACATCTGCCGACGAACGTTGGAGGGCTTTCTGCAGCAATCCTATGCCAGAATCTAAGAGGACCAATCACCGGGGAGCGTCTGAATCCAACTTTTGCGTTAAGTTTTACCTCGTAATTTAATTTGTTAGTTAGCCATCACACCACACCGCACCGCACCGCACCACACGCTTTATCCACACACACACTGCATGGGCACCGGGGTCACACGTGCACACACGCATGCGAGGATGCAGGGCCAGCCGTCCACCACCCATAGGTGATGTACAAGCAATGTTATGATGATACCCAAGGAAAAAAGAGAACTTCTAAGAGTAACTTTATCTTACATACATGAAACACGAAGTTGGATGCACCAGAGATAGGACTAGAGCTACCTCCATGTAAACATGCAGGAGATGCTAAGTGAATACCCTCAATTTCGAGCAGTCTAGTGATGCTCTCATCCAAACAATCATTTGATTTATTCCACACACAACCCTGTCGTTTCATGCTCTGCACACTTACAACTCAAATTTGACAAAAATTCCATAGATAAACCTTATTTGTATAGGTTAGTTCCCTAAGTAACATTGGGCCTTCACGTTTGGGTATTTATCCAGAGATGGCTCTAAGGTTGCTTGCAAGTCTATATATCTTCGTCTGGACCCAGTTATTTTGCTGT